GGGACCACAAAGAGCTCAGGACATCCGGGTCACACTGTCCTCTCTCTCCCCCCCCAGAGAGCCCATGGTCTCCCTCTTCCATCCTGGGCCTCCCCAGATGTCCTGCGCACGCTAGCCCAGATCTCAGCTTTGGATATTGGGGCCCACGTGGGCCCACCCCGGGCGGCAGAGAAGGCCCAGCTGTCAGGGGGTGAGGTGTGGGGTAGGGCGGCTGGCAGGCCTGGGGCGCCTCCCTCTATGGTCCTCAGTACCCTGTTCTCGCCCCTCAGGGATCCTGCTGGATGCCATCCTTGCCAACTTCTCTCGGGCAGAGCGCCTGGGGCTGCCCCTCAAGATGGTTATGTACTCAGCTGTGAGTCTTTGGGAAGGGAGGTGGGAGTGCCTCGTGAGCGCAGGGATGAGGGAGATGGCAGTTTGGGTGAGGAAGAGGCTGGGGTCTCGATGGAACCTCAGCCCTCTGTATTGGGTAACTCATAGCTGCAGGTAGATCACTAGAGGTATACCATCTGGAAGGAGGGAGGAGACAGTGTTCTCACAAAGAATTCAGCTCTTCTAGGACAGGCTGTTGAACTGAGCTGTCCAATCATGTTTTGCATCCATTTGACCAATCTTTACTAAGTGACTGGTGTGACTGCCTCCAGGGTTAGATTTGGGGGCTGGGTTCCTAAGGGGTCTGGGGCCATCTGGGAGGCAGCTGGATACAGGAGTGCGGAGTGCAGGGAGAGGACATCGGGTGAGCACCCAGGAGCAGTCTCAGCCCTGATCTGCCCACAGCACGACAGCACCCTGCTGGCCCTCCAGGGGGCCCTGGGCCTCTACGATGGGCACACCCCACCCTATGCGGCCTGCCTGGGCTTCGAATTCCGGAGGCGCCTTGGGGACCCCGACGAAGAGGCAGGGTGAGGAGGGGTGGTACCTGGGAAGGGGCGGGGCAGTGCTTGCAGAAGGGATTGGGCAGGCAGAGGACACATTCCAGGCACCCGCCTGGAGGGGGAGTTGGCCAGGAAACCATCGGGAGGTTGACAGGGAGTCAGGAGCTCGGTTCCTCCATTCAGATGCTCTGGTCTGGATTTAAGGTCAGTGGCTGGGGATGTGAGGAGGGGCCTGCCTGTCACCACATCCTCTCTCCCTGCAGGAATGTCACCGTCTCCCTCTTCTATCGCAATGACTCTGCAGGCCTGCCCCTGAGCCTCAGCCTCCCTGGATGCCCAGACCCCTGCCCACTAGGCCACTTCTACCAGCTGACTGCCCCAGCCCGGCCTCCAGCTCACTGGGTCCCCTGCCACGGCTCCCGTGAGCCTGCCACTCCTACTGGTGAGGCCCTGGGCATTGGGGTGGGAGTAGGAGAGGTAAAATCCAGAGACTCAACCCTCCTGTTCTCCCTGCAGCTACCCTGGTGCCAATGTTGGCTGGGGCTGTGGCCGTACTGGCGGCGCTCAGCATAGGACTGGGTCTGCTGGCCTGGAGACCTGGCTGCTTGCGGGCTTGGGGAGATCCCGTGTGAGCCACAAAACCAGCATCCCTTCCCCACTGCTGACCCTGGACCACAACATGTGCGCTCACCCACTGCACTGGCTCTCGTGATTTACTGTGTCTGTGTGTGGGGAACTGGGAATGCTTCCGATATTGGAAGCCAACAGCTGTTTTGCAGGTGTGTGCACTTGTGTGCATCAGTGTGCACAGGCATGTACATGGTCTCCACAAATACACACATGTGGTTCGGGGGTAGCTGTTGGTTTGAATGTTTCTGCACTTTAACATAAATGTGCAGGCTGCCTGCATGTGCTGGTATGTCTGTGTTGGTATGTGTATAGGTGTGTGATGAGTGGGTCTAGGCGTACTTCTGCATTTCCCTACATGCATGGCAGCACGTGGTGAGGATGTGTCGGGATATCTGTAGGTACCATGTGCACATGATAGTTAACAAGGCTGAGCCTGCTAGGTGTCCCTCTTTGGACTCAATTCTCTAGAAATGAGTGCCACCTCTAGGCCTCTCTGCTCCTGGGGTGGGGGTCAGGACTGTCTTCTACAGGGGGTTCAAGGCCTGGCCCCAAGGCTGGTCAGTACTGAGACTGTGTGATTCTAAGCAAGGGATCAGCCTCTGTTGCCCCCACTTCATTTGGCACAGCCATGACTCAAACTCCACAGACCCGATCAATTCTGAAATTTACCACTGGGAACCACTCTCAGGGCTGCCATAGGGCCACTGAAATAAAATGTATTCAGGTTCCAGACACACTGGCCACATTTCAATAGCTCATCAGCCACCTGAAGCTGGTGTGCTGAACACACTTAAAGCTACTGCACAGATCACAGGAAACCAGCAGGCCCTGTGGATGCTCCATGTGACCCAGGTGCAGGTCTAGGCCAGTAGTTAAGCTCCCAGGAGGGTAGGCTCTGCCCTCCCCACCACAGGCCAGGCACCAGGCTTGCTTGTGGGAGGTCTCCATCCTGGCGCAGCCTTGCCACATGTGTGGTACCATTGGGCAAATGTGTGAACACCCCAGACTAGGATAACAGGGAGGTCAGGGGGCTGGTGTGCAGTGGGCAGTTATTGACTAGGTACCCATTACAGGGGGTAGAATTGGAGGATCAGAGGTGGGTGTGGGGGGCTGTGGCTAGAAGCAACTTCCAGCTACTAGGATCCCCCATAACCCTCTCCTGGAGAACACAGGGTGCTAGGTCCCCTGGACTGAGAGGAAAAGGCTGAGGCTACTAACATAGCCTCACCTGGAGGACCTACTCCTGGGGAGCCCCGAGGCACCCCACCATCGCCCCTGGTGGCACAGTGGTCATAGGTTGTGGAAGTGAAAGGCTGCCATACCCCAGAATGCCCTCTTGGGCGTGCGACAGGACCCAGCTTCTCAGACATCCAAGGAAGACCCCACTGAGTTCTCTCAGGTTTCCCTGTCCCAGTGCTGGGGGTGGCTCCCAGGGCCTGAGAGCACAGCCCTATCCTCAGCAAGAAGGCAGCCAAGAGACAGGGGCCTGAGGCCTCTGTGTGTGTCTCCTGCGCCATGTCCAGACCCCTATCCATGCCCCCTGAGGGTTCTGGATTCAGCTTCTCATGGGGGCCACACCAAACACCACAGTTCACAGGCAAGGATGCTCGCTAAACCCCCACCTCCAGTGGGATACTTGGCCCCAACACCGTCAACCCAGAAACTGGCCAGAGAGCACACATGCAGCTAGAGACACTGGATAAGACTGGCCTGGCTGTCCCTTCCCCAAGTGAGCAACCAGCAAGTCTGCTTTAAGAGGGAAAGGCATTGCCCGGCCAGGCGTGGCTCAGCGGTTGAGCACTGACCTAGGATCCAGGAGATCACGGTTTGATTCTGGGTCAGGGCACATGCCTGGGTTGCAGGCTTGATCCTCAGTTAGGGGAGTGCAAGAGGCAGATGATCAATGATGACTCTCTCATCAATGATGTTCCTCTCTCTCTCCCGCCTCTCCCTTCCTCTCTCTGAAATCAATAGAAATATATGTAAAAAAAGGGGAAGGAATTACAATAAAGCCTTAGAGAAAAAACAAGACGAGAAAAAGGAGTGTCCTTAAAAACAAAATGCTGTATATGCTTAAAGTGTTAAGTAAAAACAATGCATTAAATAAAACAGAACATAACAAAAATGGTACAAACTTCTTGTAGTGGGCCATGAGGTCTCTCCGCTGGGCTTGTAGTGCTTTGGGGGCCTGTGGGCAGAAAGGCGGGTGCCCACCCACCATGCCGTTTGGGCTGAAATGTAAGAGGTGGGCTGGGGTCTCTAAGAAGCCACTGTGTGCCCAGCCAGCTCACTCCTGTCCTCCAATCCTGGCCAGTGACACTCATGGGGTGGTTAGGGGCAAGGACACCTTCTTCTCCTGGGCTCCTCAAAAACTGTGGGGGTGGCCTGCCCACAGGAGGCTCAAGAGCAGGTGGGCAGTTCCTCATTCCATCCTGGGGCCTCTCCGGGGGCTTTGCATCTCCTCCTTGAGGTCCCAGCTCCCTGCCCTGCTGGCTGCTCTGGAAACTAGGGGCTCCTAGCCAGGGCCCAGGAGCAGTTTCTATTCCTCTAGCATGTAGGCTGGGAGGCCGAGACTGCTTGTCTTTGATGTACAGATCCAGGGGGACCTGGGCGGGCTCCTTGTCCACCCTCTCCTTGGACATGCCTTGGCTCCGGAGCCAGCCCAGATGGTCCTTGGGCTGGACTCTGGCCTGGATCTCCATCACCACCTCCAGCACTGTCATGCCCTTGACCAGCAGGCTGCCCAGAGAGAGCCGGTGCTCAGAGGACCTGGCCAGGGCCAGCAGGCGCTGCTGCAGGCCCTTTGTGAAGGGCACATCATCGGGCGCAGGCTATGGCGCCTGATCAGATGCAGGCTTGCGGTAGATCCAGTCCAGCATGCCCAACTGGCGGGCAAGCTGGATGCCTTGCTCCACAGTGAGCCACGGCCCGAAGGGCAGCTCGGTGACCTCAAAGTGCACAAAGGATTTCCAGCGCTGGCGCCAGGCCTGCAGCAGCCAGGTGAGCAGTGTCTTGCTGCCACCACGCAGGCCCTTACAGAGGCAGTTGAAGATGGTGTCATGGGTCAGGTCGCCCAGCAGTGGGAACTCCTGGGAATTCAGGGGCAGGGCTGAGCCATCCTGGTCATATACCCGCAGGATCCAGGTGATCATGGGCTCCTCAGGTATCTGCTTGAAGCGCTGAGAGATGGCCAGGAGCTCGGTGTATGTGTGGTAGTGTTCTCCCAGCCCCATCTGGGTGGGCACCAGTGCAGTCTCGGCCATGGTCACGGGTTCCCTGGAGGGGAATAGCAGGAAGCCTGAGGAGTGCTGCTATAGGAACTGCAGTCAGGGACACAGAGGCACTGGGGGCAGGGGAACAGTTAACAGCCTCAACACCTCCCTGGACCTGGGGACCCTCAGACTCCAGGGTGTCAAAAGTCCCTGGGGGCACAGTGTCCTCATGGGAGGTCAGAGCCCAGTGCTGGAACATCACGGGCCCCCCAAGCACTGACTGACAAAGGATGGATCCCTGCAACACCCCCACCCCCTCCTTTATAAAGCTCCCTCACTCCTCCCACATGCTCCATAGTGTTACTGTGACGATTCAACGAACTGAGTGCTTAGAACAGAGGTGGGGAACCTTTTTTCTGCAAATGGCCTTTGGGATATTTATAACATCAAAGTAGCCTGCTATATTTGGTCAAATATTTAATTGACTCACCCCTAATGTGATGGCTGGAACTGCTTCTCTTTGGTGAGGCGTGTGATGTTAGCTGGTATTGATGATGTTGCTACTCGCAACTGCTTTTCCAGGTTTGCGTCGGTCAGTCTGGAGCACTGTCGACTCTTTGTGATGGTAAGTTTTGAAAAGAACTGCTCACAGCAATAAGCTGTTCCGAACACAGATGCATATTTCAATGCATGTCTCCTCAGAGTGGGAAACTCGTCACTGCTGATGTAACGTTTATAGAACTCAAGCAGTGGGAGGTTGTTGTACCTCGCTTTCAGCTCGTCGTCGCTCTGCAGCTGAATGATTTCGTGCTGTAGGTTATCAGGCACATCAGCTGGTTCCACGTTGAACGGTGTAGCAAAGATGTTCAGTTCCATCTGTTTACTTTTTATGTCCCTGAATCTTTCATTCAATGCCTCAGTCAGTTTCGCACATTCACCAGCATATTCAACCGTAGAGGAAGGCTTTTGTCCTTCCAGAGTGGGGAAATGCACTGTGTTATTCCTTTCGAGCTGCACTTTCCACAGCCTTAATTTAGCTTCAAATGATTTCACATTTGAAAGCAGGGAGCTGAGAAGCTGGTTGGGGCGCTGCAGCTTGACGTTCAGCTCTGAGAGGTACTTGGTGATGTCCACCATGAATGCTAGATCACACAGCCATGTGCTGTCACTAAGTTCCCTGACAGGTTTCCCCTTCATCTCCATGAACTGCCTGACTTCATCCCTTAGTTCATAAAACCTCATGAGCATGCTCCCGCGACTCGGCCACCGTACTTCACAGTGATAAACAAGATCACCGTTCTCAGAGTCAAGATCATTCAGTAACTCCTTAAACTGGTGGCTGTTAAACCCTCTGCTTTTGACAAAATTTATGCACGACACTACTGTTGACATCACATTGTTGAGCCGCAATGACTGTGCACAGAGACTTTCTTGGTGTATGATGCAGTGACATATAATTAAATCACTTGGGTCAAGACTGAGACGATTCAGTTCTTTCTTGACAAATGCAATTAACCCTTTCTGCGAGCCAACCATGGCTGGAGCTCCATCTGTAGTAAGGCCACTTAACTTTCCAAATGTTAGCTCAAGCTTTTTCATTGATAAAACAAGTCTCTCAAACAAGTCCTCACCTCTTGTAGCGCCATGCAAGGCTTCCAGTGACAGCAGTTCCTCTCGTGTGTCAAACTCTGCAGTTATCCCACGAACAAAAATGGCCAGGTGGGCAGTATTTGTTATGTCCGTTGTCTCAAAACAAGCCAGAGAGAAAAACTGAAAATCTCCTGCAGAATCCTTCAGTGTTTTTTCAATATCTTGTGCTAAATCAGTAATCCGATCTGAGACAGTTCTCCGAGACAAACTAACACTCTGAAACAATTTTACTTTGTCCGGTGCTAACAACTCTGCAGCAGCCACCATGCACTCTTTCACAAACTCTCCCTCTACATGAGGCCTCAGCTTCTTTGCGATTAGCTCGCTCACTACATAACTTGTCTGAATAACGCTGTCTCTGTCACAAGGAGGCCTAGTGAAAGCGGCTTGTTGTGATTCCAAACTCCGCTGAAGAGCACTGATTTTATCCAGACGCATTTGGCCTCCCAATTCATTGAGTTGAGCATGTTTTGAACTGTAATGATGCTCCAGATTGGCTTTTTCCATTACTGCTAATGCACTGCCACAAACTAGGCACACAGGTTTGCCTTTGACTTCAACAAAAAAATAATCATTTGTCCATTTCTCTTGGAAAGATCGACACTCTGCATCAACTTTTCTTTTCTTTGCAGTCGCCATCTGTAGGACGTCACACCACCTAAGTTTTAGTAACTATCCAGTGTGTGCGGCCAGTGATGCGATTATTTTGCTTTGATTCGTGTTCTAATCCTGCATCTTGGATTTGGGACATATCCAACAGTTCTACCATCGACTCCTGAGATCCTTTCTGTGTACTGAAACCCTGAGGCATGGGGAAAGCAGAATCTCTTTGTACTCACAGGTCCTCACCTGTGGAACAGGGACAAACAGCCCAGTTCACAGGGTTACTGAGGCAGAAGGAACTAGTGCTTAGCACTGCACCTGGCTCAGAGTGGGTGCTCAGCATCTGTCTTTCACTATATCAACATTACCATAACTTATGTCTTATTAACTAGAAATTCATAACCTCAGAAATGTAACATGCAATAGAAGGGTATCTCTTCTGTTCTTACCAAGAGGGATGGTGGGGCTGCTGACTCCTGGAGGAACCACCTGCAGGAAGGAGTTGGGGAGGGGACCAGGTCAGTGGGGTGCAGGGCAACCACCGTCCCCCATCCACACTTCCTCAGAGCCAGGGCCCCTCAGACCCCCAGGTGTCAAAGGTCCTGGGGGGCACTGTGTCCTCAGGGGTGATCAGAGCCCAGTGCTGAACATCATGGGAGCCCCAGTCCCTCTGCAACCAAGCCTCAAGGCCACTCACTTTCAGGGGCAGAGACCATGCTAAGAGCATTTAGACACTGGGAAACATTAAGGGAGACAATGGCATTGTCATTAAAAAGAAAATGTTACTTCAGGAACACAAGCACTAACTATTGCAGATGAAATAAGAAAGTTACTTTCAAAACACTGAGCACAGATAACGCAAACATGGTGACGTTACAAATGTCAAGCTTATGTGTATTTCTCGTATGTCTGAAGATTTGCAATAATAAAAAAGTAAAAAGGGGCATAAAAAGAACCGCATGGGACAATGGCGAAAAGAGGGCGATGAAAGGGTGGGAAAAACCTTCTCACCTGGGACATGGTGGGGAGATAGGCCTTACGGGCCCATTAGCCCTGAACAAACGCTTAACGAGCTATTCGCAGTGCCTGGGTCGATATGACTCCTGAGGGTGAACGAAGGCCTGGTTTGCTTTCTCCTAAGACCATTCCTCCGCGTCTCAAAAACCAGGAACGCGCTTAGAGGCCCCACTCCTACTATTTCCTTCGTGATCCTACTTCCCCCCAGGCTTTGCTGGAGGTGGCAAAAAATGCCAGTCGCCTGGGTTTGAAAAAACGGGAGACGTGGAAAATCTTAGAAAAATTCCACGTCACACGTCGGGGCCTCCGCCCCCCAAGAAAGATGCACAAGATGGCGGAGGCCTGCGACGGGGGCGCAGACGTGGCGCAGCCGGCGGCGGAGCAGACAAAGGCGGGGTAGACCCGGCGGCCCCGCTCGCTCCGGCAGGTCCTCCCCACTGCGAGCGCCCCAAAGAGCCGCCACCCGCCCTGCGGGAAACCCGCAGCGTCGCCTCCGAACGCGACCAGGGGCCGTGACGAAGGCCGAGACCCCAACCACGCGACAACGGGGCCACCCCGCCGCCTCATTACACGCGCGGCCGGGACCCCGAAGCGCCGCTGTACAGGCGGAAAGGAGCTAAAAGCTAAGAAAAAAATCTCACCTGACTTTGCTTCTTTCTCCAAAACCGACGCGCTTTGCCTCGCGTCCCACTTTACAGCGCGCTCCGCTCGCAAGGCCCCCCCACGGGCCAGTCTGGGCTCCGCCCAGAGGCTTCTGGTAGGCGCGCTGGTGCCGGAAGCCGCTCTTCAGGGCTCGGGGAAGGGACAGCGTGTGTCTCCATTATAATCTCCCTGACAGGGACGGAAGGCGTTGACCCCGTAGGCGGAGAATAAAAGGCCACGAAATATCGCCGTCTGCTGTCCTGTCCTGAGCGTCAGGCAACTCTGTGGGCGGCCCCAATGAAGGACCGTGAAAGGGAAGGACCCCGGGCGGGGGCGGGGCCAGGAAGGGAAAGCGGCGTTGCCCTGGCTACCGCGGAGGCTGAAGGGGCGGGGCCGACCTAGGAGTGTCCCCCCGCAGAGTGGGAGGTGGGGCCAGAGCTGAGAGTGACAGGGGGCAGTTCTGGGAAAGCGCCCGCGTGGCGAAGAGTTAGAGGCTGATCCTGGGCGTGAGACCCGGGGGCTGGGCTTTAGTTGGCGGAGCGGGAGCGGCTGAGGGCCGGGAGTTCTTGGTCCGAGAGTGGAGGCGCAAGGGACAGGGCTTCTGGGCCTGAAGTGGAAGGGGGCTGGGGTCCTGGACTCCTGGTCCGAGGGAGGAGGCGCTGGGGACAGGACTCAGGGGCTGAGGCGAAGCCGGATTTGGGGCTCACTTCCCGGTGTTTAGGTCGTGGAAGACCTGGGGTTTTGGATTCTTACTAGGGTTGGGAGATTAAAAAGGGGTGTCTTTCAACAGACGGGATTGTAAACATCTTTTCGAAGATAAAAAAATGAAACTTCGCGCCCGCCGGCGTCGCTCAGCGGTTGAGCATCGACCTAGGATCCAGGTCACGGTTCGATTCCCCGTCAGGGCACATGCGGGTTCCATCCCCAGTGGGGGGCGCGCAGGAGGCAGCCCATCAATGACTCGCTCATCATTGATGTTTCTCTCTCTCTGTCCCCTCTCTCTGAA